TCGTGTAATAACTTTCAGCTTGTCATAGAATAGATAGACCTATTCATAAATATTGTTTCTTAGTCAACTGGTCCGTTTAATTCTTTAACGTAGCGTGATATCAAACTTCATTTTGAAAATAATTTATTTAAAAGAATGAAAAAGAAAACTATAAAATAATTAACTATGATATGATATTTGAATATAAATTTATTCTTTAATTGGAGATGTTCAATGTTTTAAAATAGGAATATGTTTTTTGTTTCAATTGTCTGAAATTTAATTTTAAAAATTGCCGGTCTTTTGCAAATACATCCTATATATATATATATATATATATATATATATATATATATATATCTCAACGTAGAAAATAGTACGTCTGTACGTCGATTCAAGTTGCTGTACACCACATTAGCATGGAGAGATGAAATTATCATGTTACTTCTTAGAATTGTGGGGCTAGTAACAGTAATATAAAATATTAGAGATTGAAAATACAATTCGATAAAATGGAAATTACTGAAATAAAAAAATCATGAGGAGTTCACAAGTGTAAATTTCGGGAAAAACAAAGAATGGATGTATCTACTCCACTGCAAACGACTTTGAACTGTGTCACTCAAAGTCTCTAACCACTAGTTACGATAACCACACTGATCCCAACCAAGTAGTCTATACCTATTAATATGGCTAAGTCCAGTCGTCAGTAACTTCATGGACTGATAGCATATTTGGTTTGACCGCCCTTAGGTTTCTTATATCTCATACCTACACCAGAAAACATACCCCATTGGGATAGGCTGTGGTTGCTTATATGTAAGACATGTCAAAACCATCTGAAGATTCACTACATCTTCAGTTCAATACACAAGCAATACTTCGAGGATATCTGTGATCGAATACCAGTAACCTACGAATATCATGTATTGTTAATGGTCATATTTCACATTCACAAAGTAGAGCGGAGAGAACTGCTGAGCAGTATATATATATATATATATATATATATATATATATATATATATATATCCAAGGTCAGAAGAAGAGTTCAAGTTTATTTTATTCACTTCATATAATTGTTCAGCACACGTTTATTCTTAATCCCGATCACAATAACACAGGTTTAGATTAATATAAAAATGGTGAACTTGGATCTTATCTCGTTACCACTACATTTCATGACATTAAAAGCATTTTTTACAATCATAACAGATTGAAAATCATATTATCCCTGTTGTTCAAGCACCAAATTCAAACATAATATATAATGTAATGTTCACCCATTCCTGAATGAGCCAAATTAATTAACAACTGCTTAATGAACTAGAATTTTGGTTAGTTTACCTTTGGATATTTATCAAATTGACTTTTTAGTAGTTAGTAATACACTTGTAACAGTCTTTAGAATGAACTTTCAGTGTTTTACCTTCGTTTTGGTGTTACCTCATCAATGAAATTTAAGTCAGTTTGCCTAAAACATATAATAATTGTAGATATCATTACCAAGGTTTGATGTGATAATTTCGAATAAATTGAGCATTGGGTAGATTGTTATAAATAAATAATATATTTGTAATATCCCAATGAGTAGAAAAATTAGATTTTCTGGTGTTTTATGACTTAGTGTAAGCCATTTCTTCGGAGAATTATGGTTCACTTTTCCAAACACAAAATTTTAACAGTTGAATTCACGAGTTGATATAAGTCAGACAACCATTAAAAACCCGGAAGCACTGGACAGTCGTTTCGTCGTAGTATGAGACACCTCAGTAGCGCACACACATTAGTAAGATAACTATGGAATAAATAATTAACCTATACATAAATTAATGTTAAACTATAGCTTTTATGTGGATAACTATCATCAGGAATTGATTTCATAAAACAATAACTTATATTTAAAGGTCAAGTTGACATTTTAGCATTATCAAAATTGTTCTATTTAATCGAAGATGTTCACTATATATTTCACGTGTGATTATGAGTGAATTGTGCATGTTCACTTATGGTTTTGATAATTGGGTCGAACAACAATCTGAAATATTAACATCCTCACCATCACCACCGTTATGTAAGGCGCTATTTAATATTGATGTGGAATATAACCGATATTTATAGTAATAATAACAATAATAATCAGTTGATAGTTCTCAACAATTAGTTAAGTGGAAAACGTCATAGTATTACTGGTCTGTTTTAATTTTTTGAAAGTAATTTTCTATCATGAAATGGAATCAGTCGGAGAAATATTGCACTACATCGTGAATTAACTAAAGATGAAAGTGTAGACTACTAAATTCTCATCAATTAGTTTAAAAACACTTCCAGCTCCATGTGTTCAAAGTTCAACCCCGAGTACAGTCTTGTTGTATGCGTGTGCACTGTCGATAAGTTAAGTTACACAGCGGTTAACAGTGAGATCCATGGTGTGCTTATAGTCCTATTTGAAACTCTTTAGCTTAATGTAACTGAATCTTAGTTTTGACGTTCACACAATCATGGAGGCAGTACAAACCCTTACAAATAAACTTCATACCTGTTGCACAAACTAGTTGCTATTTGCAGTTAACAGCTCAGTAGACAACGTGTGGGCAATTGAAGCGAAATTCGGTGAATTTGGATTTCTCCGTGAGCATCAAGATTGAGGCGAAGGCTTATACAGCTGACGAGTTACAAAACATATGTCCTCGATTTCACCGCTTGTCGTAATCCAACTTTACTGAAACTTTTAAATTAATGGAAGCATCAAGGATACTTATTCAAGACCAACCTATTCCAAACTTTAACATCAACAACGAAAAAACGTAATTTCTTACTGACAGGAGAAGACATGTGTTTGGCGTCTCTTGGCTTTTCAGTTTTTCCTTTGCGTCTGATGGAAGTTCATCACAAAAACTATCTTTCAGTCAAATGACCCTATACAAATTCTTAAAAAACAAGTACTTTTAAACTAGAAATTTTTGATCCTGTAGTAAATGACTTTGTACGAAATTCATGAAACTGTATTTTGATTTAAAATCAGATGAGATTATCAACAACATTTTTCATATTCATTAAGTATGTTGTATTCAGTAATTTCAATCATTTTTTTCCGTCAATTTAGTTGGTTCGCCTGTATACTATATTAAGTTTAATTTTAAAAAAAAGTTTCAAGAGGCTCGAGTTATCCACAACTGTCTGCTATGAACATGTCCAGCGTGTAACCTGACATAGCGGACGAAGAATACAGTTGTAGTAAAATGTTATGTTTGAGATAAAATCATTGATAAAAATTAAACTGCGATATACATCCATATCTATAATCATTAGTGATGGTTTTATTCAATATCGTATGTCTAATACAGTATAAAATTCTACCAAATGAAAAGATAAATGACCGAAAGTTTTGGGTATAACATACTTAGTGGATATTGAAAATATTTCTAGAAAGCCTCACCCATCATCAAGCTGAGTAAAACCAAAAATATATCAGTAATATAACTGCTGAAGTTGTGTAAAAATTGTACGTGAGTGTTTCAACTAATAACTTATCCCTAGAAATATTTGAAAATAATTTATACAGTACATTTTCATGTATCCAATTCTATTACTGTTACATTTAGACATTTAATGTCTCCGGTTGTCATATGGTCAATTCTATTTGCAAACGATTAAGTATTCTTCTGATACGACATAACGAGTGGAAAGCTGATTAGACAGGACATCTTTGGACAACAATACTTCAGTATAATAATCCATGCGCTAGTACAGAGGACGGGACTTTCCAAATAACTTTATATTCTGAACGGAAGCCAAAAGTTGAAAAGGAACAAGTTTATTTTACAGTAACAAGCGATAACTCAAATATATCGCAAAATTAGCAAACTGACAATGATGACGACCAAGCAGGTAATAGCAAATGTTACTTAGGAATAATGGATTAGGAAAATGTGATTGGGGTTATCTTTTTTTAAAGAAATTATCATGTAATAAAAATAGATACATAACCTGATCTCTCTTTATGAATTACACTGTAGAATTTAATGTTGGTACTTGGGCGGCTAAAACGAGGTAATTGGAGCGGTGCTTGGATCCGTGATGTTTTGATCAGCAGCACTGTTTCAGCCACTTACTGCTCTAAAATTACATTTACATAATCGATCAAAATAAAAGTATACTTAATAATACACTTCTAGGAAATCAAAAAGAACATATGGTTGAACCTGGTACATTTGGAACAGAGTCGGTCACAACTTTGATAATGGTGAATAAAAACATTTTAAAGTATCTTTTCCTCGATACTTAACATTATTTATTGTATAAGGAATAGTAGACATGTGGTGGTCGGTGTTTGATATATTCCTTAAACTCCGTATACAGTTCGTCTCGGTAACCGTCTCTAAATAACGCTCCAACGGTATATTAATCAGAAGGCGAAAACGAAGTGTTAATTACGTTTATTATAAGACCGCACACAGATATCCAAAGTTACAGATGCGTTAAGCAAGCATGAAATAGTTGTACCGAAAGGTAAACAGGCAAGGGAGCGGGCGAGAGAGAGCAAGGGCAAGAGCGAGCGAGCGAGTAATGAATATGAATGACATGGACATATATATACATATTGAAATGAATGAATCATCGAGTCAATTCAGCGGTTAATAGTAAAGCTAGTAGCGTGAATAAATGTTTAGGCAGTAAGGCTTGCCGAGCATATATGTTTATACAAGCATAACAATAATAAAGGTACAATAAGTTATTATAGTGCAGGTGACTTGGTCCGTTTAATAAGTTAATAAAAGGGCTTAACCGAATTAGGTGAGAGCAAACTCAATTGAACGTGAGTTGCTATAGTCAAATTAAGTATAGAATCTTTTATTTTTCATATAAATTTAATAGTATGCCATCATTAATACTGAATATAAATTTATCAATACATATTACAATTCAAGTGGGTTGGAGAATGCTGGTTGGCGGCCTATGATCTACTGGGAGTAACAGGAGTAAGTAACTAAGTAGGTATATTACAATTCATAGCTTACCAAGAAGTGTATTTGAAGGAATATCTTCAACTGAAGTAATCACTCGTTCAAAGGTGTTCGTATTCACTGAAGCCCCAACGCCTGTAATTAAAAATACACGTACATTTTAGGCATATTGAAAATATACACAAGACATCAGTTATATGTTAAAGAGATTTCTTTTCAAAAAAAAACTTTTCATTCAAATTTATAAGGAAAACATTGACATCTGGAATACCAAAAAGTACCGAGCTCCGAGGGGAATGTTTTCATTAGTGTTTAAACTTACGAGAAAATAAACATGAGGTTATTGATCGTACTCTCTGTTTCATGATTTTTGTTAGCTACATACCGTTTAGAATTCGAAAAAAAGCGACGAAAAATGACGACGAATATGACAATTAATGGCCTTCAAGTCTTTATACTTGAACTGAGTAGCCAGATAATAACATTCAGTTTCCATTGGTGTATACAGTAATTATTTATTTCAAGTCATGCCATTTAAAAGCTTGTATTGTTGTTACTGAATAAATGTTGATATAGAGAACTTATCTAACATACTTTATTTTATTGTAATTTATCACTCAATACAGAAGTAACTTTACATTTAGCACATATACTATTTTTAAAGTATGACGTCAAAAACATTAAAAAATATATATACTCACGAGAGTATGGTGACGAAATTCGATCAAAATAGTTTTATTATTTTGTGTAATCAAGATAGTGCTAGGCTTGAACTCAAACCTAATAGCATTGAAATTGAATGCTTATGCTAAGAGGAATAAGAATCAAGAATGATAACCGGGGACAGAGAAGCATTGATTGTAAGAGAAATTTATTCTGTTCAATAAAATGCTTCTTATTACATGGTACAATTATATATATATATATATATATATATATATATATATATATATATATATATATATATATATATATGCATTTTGGTAGTAAGTGATCTTAGGCAAGAATATGTAAGATGACAAATATAGAAGAAATCTGAAGGATTTATAGATTTACAGGGAAATAATATGATTTTGACACAAGAAAAAAGTAGACATTTTTTTAATCATTACTAATATTATTCAGTAAACAAGTAAGGGAGAGAAAGATATGGGGAAATAGTATTTAATACGGAAAGAAAATAAAAAAATGATCATCTAGACTAAATGATTGCATCAAAATAGTTAACAAAACTGATAGGTTTGTATATTTTAAGCACCAAAATGTATTATGTATACACGCCAAAAAACACACTATGACTAAAGTATTGCGATGATAGTAACTATATTCTTTTGTTTAAATTTAGAAACCGCTGGTTTTCTGATACGAATCATTAGTGAATTATATTTGTTTGAATGTAGTGAGTTTTGCTTGTAACTTCTTATTGGTTAATCAATTAGTTGAACACAAACTGATATTATAATTTATCAATGTACAATAATTATTGGACAATTTTATTGAATTATATATATACCCAAGTATAGAATTAGATTCTCAACTTTGATGCATGATATCACACGTTGATTCAAAATGATTGAAGTAGAACAGTTTAGTTATTTATATTATTTTAATGCAATATATCTTATCATATTGAGATGGGTTAGTCTAAATGATTATTAGCTAAAACCTACTTTTTATGGAGGTGAACTTTGAAGAAAATAATTTCAGCTCATATTTGTAATGTCACATTATTGTAACTATGTGTATTTAGATTTCATGAAATATTTGACATTTATTGAGAATCTTATAATCGAGGGATTTAGAGAGATCCATCACAGTTGTTATTGTTTTTTTGTCGTCTCTCCTTGGAAGAAACGAGTAGAGACTACTCTACAGAATTCAGATATCAAATATACTTTAACATGAGAAGAGATATCATGGGAGAGAAACTGACTAGAAAAGGTTACGAATAAATATGAATAGTAGCGAACCACTACTTAAAAACGTCTTTATACGTATGTTCTTGAATTACCACAAGTTGAATAATGTATATAGTTTATTTTATGTTGATAATTCTTAAGAGTAATCAAACATCTGACATTAAATAAAGTGAGTTCCACTATTAATTATTACGTTGCACGTTGCTTTTAATAGGTTCCTAAATTTCTGTTAACGAATGATGAGAGACGCATAAAAGTTTATGGAATAACAAAGAGGACATGGAAAATTGAGTATTATCTTTAATAGCAAAGGTTATTCAAAGTGAACGATCATGTTTATTTACTATAATAATCAAGTAAACTGCTTTAAATAGGATTAGGTTCTCAATGAAGACTAGTGTACAGAAGAGAAAATAATAGTTCTATAACCCAACGAAACTGATTTTTTTATAGATGATGTTCATTACAATTTGAATTCAACTGAGGTACCATTGAAACCTATGAACGACTGAACATCTATCACAAGAATCCTCAAACGTGTTTATCCATAACAACTAGGTAGGATTAAATACTCGTTCTTCATTTTGTGACGTTTTTATTTTCAACTTTAATTATTCATTTTTCAACTGATAAACAACTTATAGTCATACACTATTCAGATAGAATTAACTGCAAACACATAATAGCTTTATATATTCATTATATGAATTGCTGGTAGATACTGTTCGATTGCTATTTGGGGATCGGCTGCATGAGTAGATTTTGTTAAATACTAACAACCATGTGTTGATTTTGTTTTATTACCACAAGGAACCACAAAATATCGATTGAATAGAGAATAAACTAATAGACAAAATGATATTAAATTTCATTAATCAATTTAATATTTTACTCACCTTTCTCAAAATAAAAATGTGGACCACCCATAAATAATTGTTTTGGCCTATTAGGATGTTGATTAACTGATGCACCAAATGTACAATATCTCAGATCAATTGATTTATCAGAATCCTTAACATTTAAACAAATTGCACTTGGTGCAGGATTTAATTGAGGCTCTTCTAAACGTTCATTAAATTCAAAGCAACCACCAGGTAAATAAACAGATGCTGCTGATGACCATGAAAGACGAGGTGCACAAACCTGGATTTTTTTAATTGATGAAACAAACAAACAAACAGAAAATAAGTAATACAGACAAAAAAACATTTTGTTTAAGCAAATTTTGAAATCTTTTATCAACTGGGGAATGTGTTTTCAAATATGATTGAGTACTCAATGAAATAATAAAGGAACTTCAATTTTATTAACTCGAAATATAAGATTGGGTTAATGGTTTGGTTTATCGAATGAATTCAGATAATCATGTTTTAATCAATTGGTTTACATTTCAATTTATTTACAAAAAAACACAGTAATAAATACAATTGGACCGTAAAGTTTATAGATCGGCAAATGATGTATTGTATAACTAAGGTAGTTAACATGACAATGTGTTGCAAATTATTTCTCTGTAGTATTGGTTGACACATTTGTAAGGTTTTAACTTAAAAATTTAGTGAAAATATATAACCAAATATTCAATAAGAGCAGTGACATTTCTGAAGTCAAATGATCAGTTCTTATCAAAGATATATGGAAGTTAGAACCTTTAAAAGATTTAATTCATTAACCTATGTTTTAAGATACTTATTGACCATTTTTCTAAGGTTTATCTTATGATTGTTGTAGTAGTAATCGTTCATGAATGGTTGAAGTTAGACATGAACACCGTTGGATCACGGCCAACTCAGTGGTCTAGAGGTTAAGCGTTTGCGTGTGAGACTGATAGGTCCTGGGTTTGGACCCCTCGAGCGAGATCGTGGGTGCGCACTGCTGAGGTGTCCTGTACTAGGGCGAAACGGCCGTCCAGCGCTTTCAGGTTTCCTATGGTGGTCTAGATTTAATTAACTCATGAATTCAACTATTAAATTACTATAATATCCACAAAACCCCTTTCTGATTAAATAGAATAGTTGGTCTTAATTCCCTAATCGATTAATAATAGTTCAACTGTGAAATAATAATAACAATAATATTTCTAGAAAAATCAATCTTTACCAGGTTCGTATGTTTTAATATTAATTGAAAGTCTTGGGCATTAATCAGAAGAAAAAAAAACATTTCAATATAACCATTGAAAGTATTCATCTAGTTTACTAACTTTTTATCTTGTATATGCAATAAGATCGTATCATTATCGAGTCTATTCTATTATAAGAAACATGTATAAACTTGTTAAATTTACAATTTATAGGCATTAATAACTAATATCATCTGTCAAATAACTTTTTTACAAAAATAATAAAAGAGTGGATTTGGAACCAGTTAGAAATATTATATTTGTCATCATCGGATTGAAATAAAATGTTCATTTGATTTGTATTAATTTTTAACCACAGTTAATAATTTATTGATTGACAAATCGGTTATAGTCTAATGATTTGAGTTAAAATTTCTATATATAATTAGTAGTTTATATTATTTATTTTATTTTCATGTTGCTCAGTTAAATAGGAAGTGATTCTTTTTCACTAAAATCTATTTGATCCTGTTGGGTGATCAGATTTATTAATTCGATCTTTCTAGTCATTTCAATTGTCAAATAAAATAAGAAATTGTAGAAATACTATCCAGGGGAGATATTTTAATTATTAAAGAATTCAGAAAAGTGTTATGTATTCATCAAGAAATGTTTTGTGGAATCATTATTTCTATTCAAGTGTTTTAGAAAAAGCAAACAGATTAAAAGTGTGATCAATGAAATGATCAATAAAAGATAAATAAATGATTATATAAAAATTGAGGGAGAACAGAATGGTGAAGTTTGATCCTATCATTTATATAATATTCAACATGAACTAATACCAACCACTAAACCAGCTGTTTCTTCTTAGCTCTGGACTAGTCAGTGATCCATAATTAGTTTTTTTCTTTTGCTATCTTTGGCATAACTTTTAACTAGATAGAGCAATGACTACTGAATGCTAAGATTTAACCTACAATGGAGTACGCTGATTGGTCCATGTTTCAACCGATCAGTGGTAGAGGACAAATTAACATGTTAGAAGATTGCCATGTAAATTCTAAATAAACTTCAATGTTTTTACTTCTGTATCGTTTTATTTTGGTTATATTGAAATATATTTATATGTACATAGTTCTTCAGTTCTTGTCTTGATTTATGAAGACGTGGATGAAGTATAATGTTCGGGAAATACTAGACGGTGGAGAAAATAAGTTATTCGGATTGATTCTCTAATCATGTTATAACTACTTTCCTCTTTGCTGTTTGCTTACGAAAAATATTGAAACTTGTGTCAGTACACAATTATAATTGAATGATGATCTAATTTTGGAAAAGTTTTATACAATGATTGTCATTAAATTTTTAATAAACTAATAAGTGTAAAGAACTGTAATATTTTAATCGTTTGTCCAGCGAAACTCAACATAATATTAATGCCAGCAATCAAAATTCACCATTTATTTTGTTATAAATATTTGAATCTTGATAATTAATCCCAATTAGTGTACTGAAACTAAATCAGGTATGAATTGAATTATGTGGAACTATAGAAACATAAAAGTTATATTTATACAACTTTAACATGCAATGAAGCGAAACACTTCCAAAATTAAAACTTTTTGAATATTGAACACTCCCATTACTTCCACTTCCAAAATCATATTCTTATTTATTGGAGTGTTCAAATAATTGTTATGTAGTGAAAAAATAATTATGGCAGAAACTTATATTTTCTTGTTTAATAGAAGAATGAAAATAAACAATGCCGAAGAGTTGAGTCAATCAGTTATGAACAACCTAGGGGCTTGATGCAAATCTGAGTTCACTTAGGTTGCTATGTTATACAGACTCGATGAGAAATCATCAAGATGAACAGGGAACTAGTTTAATTAATTGTACAAGCAATGATAAGGGAAAAACCAAATATTGAGTATATAGTTTGAGATGACAAAATAATAATATATGTATGAGATAGAGTTTATAAAATATTAGAAGTTATTAGACTTGTATCACTTTTATTCACTGCATTGAGTGAAATGCATTTAGGTTTCTTATATTTGGCTATGTTACCGCTAACTATTGATGAGAACCATGACATTAGATGACGTCAGTTGATTCACACTGGAAGGTATCGATTCCTTCAAAATTACAGATAGATCTTGCTGATAAGTGACAATTAGAGCGAAACCCTAGTTCAAAGTTTCCCTCTTGGTTGCATCAAATCATTGAACATTATAAAAACAGTACCTATAATAATTGAAATCGTTCTTCTCTGAGTACTATTTACAACAATTATCCACAGTTAGCTTAAAAACGATTCTCCTGGATTCCTGTGAATTCAGTGATGCTGTAAGCAATCATTGTATTGACATAGAATCGATGCAATGTGGCTAGCAGTGGAATCCAGGATGGGAGTTTCGTCCTACTTTAAACTTGTCAGGTAAATGTACCTGCATCACAGAGGTTATATGCACTCTGGGACTCTGGCCCAGTACAATACGCTTCAAAAGCTACCGCATTATCCAAACCATTTCAAATCGAGTTAAATCATCTTATTTTTTCAGTATTAAATGTATATCTAAATTTATTGAATAATGACCAAAAATCAAACCATTTAGGGTGAATAATTTGATACTACGACACACTTTATGCTTCAGTTCTAGATGCTTATCGAATTAACTAAGTTGTCACATTTTACTTATCAGTTTTTTAATGAGGATAGGGGTCATATTTTCACACTACGTCATTGGGATATTTTGTATTGACTCTTACTCCGTAGAACATCTGTCTGAATATAAAAAATCCTGTTGTATTACTCTTGATGAAAAATTCGTCAATAAATTTTGTCTTAAACTCATGGGGAGGGTTAATAGTCTCTTCAATCTGATATGTGCTTTCGAGTAAATAATAAATGAGTAATGTTTCTTCTATTTATTTTTTAAACATTTGACAATCCTCAAAGTTGTTATTTTTTAAATGCAATAAAACGTAATTGATAAACTAAACGAATTCAAACAGGGATACACATTTGAAATTTACTAGTCTAATTTTATGTAGAAACTGACCGATAAATTATGAGAATATACTAGAATTTATTATTACTTAGAATGCTGAACATTTCTTCTGTATCTAATGATATGAATATGTAGCATTATATCAAACTTTATCATAGATAACTCGGGAAGATTGAACAGTTGTCGGAAATAATAATAACAGTAATAATAATAACGATAGAATTCCATTCTATTGACTTGAGAATAGATATCTTTGATTAGTATTGAGAAAAATATAAACTTAGAAATGAAATTTAAACTACTCATAATAAACTTTCAGTTGTATTTCATTTTTAACGACATTACTTATTAGTATATCTGTTTCAAACATAATAAATGATATTATTTCATAATCAATGAACCAATAACCAAATAAGCAAATTAATGAATTACAGTAATCTAGATCATTTATAATGACAAATACATTCATTATTAAATTAAGGCCATTCAGTCAGTCAGTAACAACGTGGAACTTTGTACGTGCGTACATCAGTTCGAGTTGCCATACCATAATTAGCACAGAGATGCAGTCGTCAATTCAAATCCCGTAATGGTATAGGTAGTAAAAGTATAAGCAGTAGTCGGAAATATTAGGGTTTGAAGATGCTATTCAAGGAGTATAATTCAGTGAAATAAATTTGGAAAGAGAAAAAAAGGAACATGAAGAATTCAGAAGATTAGAGTCCCGGAGAACAAAAAGAGTGGATGCACCTGCGCCATTGCAAACGATTTTGAGCCATGCCATTCAAGGTCTCTAACCATCGGTTGCTATCGTCTCGCGGATCCCAACCAGGTATTTTACACCAAACAAAGACTATTAATTACCATCAGTAATATGCGTACATATAATATTACTTTTTATTATATAGATTACTCTATTCATTTACGAACAAAAAAAAATGGATTTCAGTTATTAATTTATGAATTTTATTACAATGAACTCCTTTTTATCAATTTGTAAAGAGTAGTGATAAAATGATATTAACTAATGATATGTTTCACTTTTTGATAATTGTGTTTAA